CGTTCGTCGTCAGTAAGCGAGTTTGCTAAGGATGGGTTTGATTAATGGAATGCCATCATATGTTGGGTTCAACTTTCAGCAGGGATATAGAAGAATTGGCCGGATCGTCTGACCGCCTGGAGAGTAACTAGGAGTGATTTCGAGGACGAAATCTAATTTAAGTGGGGGAGAGTTGTAACACCTGTTTCGAGTGGTTTCATGATTTGGGTTCGTGACCCGAAGATCAAGTATCATAATTCTTTGGGCTTTGGGTGAAGAGAGGTTTAAAACCATTTGGAATTGGGTAATGTGGATTGTGTGATCCAAGAGTTCGGTGTTTCAGACTTCTTTTATGAATTAAGGATTTTAGTTCGATTTTAGTTCGATGTGTTTTAAGTTAAAAGTAATTATATAGGGCTGTAGAGTTCCTTATTGCCTTTTCGTGGATAGAAAGATCGTCGAAATCAGTGTTGAAATGTAGAAGTTATGACCGTTTTAAGTTAGGATGGTTTTGGGTTAAGCCGCATACGCTGGGCGTACTAGGGTATCCTTGAGTATGCTGGGCGTACCAGGAGTACGTTGGGCGTACGCGATCAGTTCGCAAACCCTATTTTCATGGTTTGAACCCTATTTAAGCTCCTTAACTTTCCCGAATCCATTCCATTCTCAACCTCCACCTCTCCAACACCCTCCCTTGAAACCCTAACCCTAGTTCGAGCCATGTGAGAAAAAGGAAGGTGTTTTTAAGTGCTTTGGAGTGTTCTTGGTGCATCTTGGAGAAGAAGGAGCTCATTGGAGAAGTGTTGGTTGCATTGGAGCTTGTAGATCCAGACTTTGTTCACCTTGATCTTTCTTCTAGAGGTATAAAGCTTGAATCTTGATGATGCATTTGTTAGATCTAGCTAGTTTTGGGTGTTATGAGCTTTTGGTCAGTTTAGTGCATAAAGTTTAGATCTATAAAGTTTGTGGCCTTGTTATGGATAAAGTTGGAAACTTTATCCATCTAAACATCATACTTTATCCATCTAAACATCATATTGATTCATATCTAAAGGTTGGAGACTTGGGTTTAATGGATTAAGTTGAAAAAGATGCACTTTTGGTCCTTTTGAGAATTAAAGACTAGATCTTGGTTGTTTGGACCATTCTAATGGATAAGTTGGAAACTTTATCCATTATGGAGTTGTTAGGAACCATAAAAATGTAATCTTGGACCTTAGTTTCCTACCATGCAAGAGCTAGGATGTCTTAAAGAGTTAAGAAGTTAGGATTTTTGGTATTGAGCACTTATTAGCCCTACAAGATCATAAAGTTGGAAAATTTATGATGAAGAACATCATTTGAGGGCTAGATCTGGATTTTGGACGACGGAGCTTAAGGATTAAGCTCTTAATGGGAAGAATGGGTGGCAGCCACGTACGCTGGGCGTACCAAAGGGTACGTTGCGCGTACTTGGTCAGCCCCTCGACTCTAGTCAAACGCGTAGTACGCCCCGCATACCTGTTGTGTACGCCCAACGTACTCACCGAGTTGACCCAGTTAACTTTTACTTTGACTTTGACTAGGGGTTTGACCAAGTTTGACCTAGGGTTATTTTGAGTATATGGATTATAAATTAATTTTGTTCATGTTCCAATGAATAGGTGACCGATAGAGCTGATATTCAGAGCAATGTCATGTTCAGCGATCTTTCAGATGGAGAGGTCAGTCTCCTCCCAGTGTCTGGCGGGTCGAAGGCACTAATGTCGTCCCATGGATTATAGTTATTTGTATGCTAGTTGTCTGTGTGACCTTGCATGTGTGTATATATTGTATGTATGCCAGACGGGGCCCGATGCCAAGCGGGGCCTGATGAGTGAGTTGGCCGGGGCCCATCACATGATACATATAGATCTGTTTCGGGTGGGGCCCGATGCCAGGCAGGGCCCGATGGTTGTCGAGCAAGGCCCATTATATGTATGGTATGTGGTACTTTGGGGAAATCACTAAGCTTTGTGCTTACGGTTTATGTTTATGGTTTCAGGTATTTTTTGGTTTGAAAAAGAAGGGCCCAACGTGATTGTAGCGCATCCACCCATGTTTCCGGAACTTTATAATTTTGGGGTTGTACTCTGATAACTATTTTTACTCTAATATATGTTTGAATGATTGAAAAGGATAAATGGTGTTTATGGTTGAATTAAAAATTAAAATTTTACCTTATGATTTCGGGTCGTTACAAGTATTGCTAGAACTAGAAGAAGCCATGCAAACATAATTATCATAACTAGGATAATTTATATTAAGCCTAATCATTCCACTACATATGTAACCGAAACCCATTGAACCATGTCTTGACAAGATATACTTGTCACCTTCAAGTACTTGTTTGTAACCATAATTATTCAACACAATTTTACGTCGGAACATATAAAACATTGTTCGGACATAAACACTTTCCAGAAGTAAAATAAAGCAAAACAGATCCTAAACCCTTGATTGGTTCAGTAGAAACATTTCCCATTTTCACCACAGATCCATCTTTTATTGGTTGACATTCCTTGAACCAAAGAAGATTTACATATATGACTTGTTGCTCCAGAATCAACCCACCATGCAACATCATCATCCTTAACATAATGTGCTTCAGAAATCACAAAAATATAATTCTGAACATATTTAGAATTCTGCATGAAAACAGAAGACTGTCCATATTGCTTTTCTGGATCATTGGATCCACTTGGTCCAACACCATCCTTATTCACTTTATGAAGACGACAATCTTTATTGAAGTGACCCAGTTTGTTACAATTCCAACAAAACAATTTTGCTTTCTTGTTTGAATACTTATCATCCTTTCCTTTGAACTTCCTATTTCCCTTAGACTTCTTGGAATTCTTTGAACTTTCTCCTTCAACCATGTTCACAGAAGAGGAACCAACTTGATACTTGTTTTTCGGATTATTATCAAGTTCTTGAGTCCTTAATGACTCTTCAATGCATAAATGACTTACAAGTTGAGTCAAAGTCAGTTCATCTTTGTTATGTTTCAGTTTGTGTTTAAAATCTTTCCATGAAGGGTTAGTTTGTCAATAATCACAGCCACTGAAATGGCTTCATCCATTTTCAGATTGTATTGGGTAAACTGTCCCAAGATCCTTAACAGTTCATGGAATTGTTCCATAACAGGCCTGGAGTCAGACATCTTATAACCCATAAAGTTACTGGCAATAAACTTCTTACTTGAAGCATCTTCATTTATGTACTTGGATTCAAGAGAATCCCACAATTCTATTGCAGTTTCAACATTTTGATAGATATCAAACAGAGAATCAGACATACCATTGAGAATATGACCACGGCAAATGTAGTCATCATTGTCCCACTTTGATCTTCTTCTTGTTTCCTCCAAGGTTTCATCTTCAGTAAATTTTGGCATGGATGTACTCAGAAGATACACCACTTTCATAGTAGTAAGGAGAAAATGCATCTTCTTTGCCATCTACGAAAATCTTGCCCTCAAACTTGTTCAGTTTATCAAACTTGTTTGTCATATCCTTCACAGAATCGCCACTATCCATGGTCACAAGAATACTTCGATTTTTGTTACAATTCCAACAAGAAAGCAAAATTGGGTGTACTCAGAACAGACACCACTTTCAGCGTAGTAAGGAGAAAATGCATCTTCTTTTTCCATCTATGAAAATCTTGCCCTTCAAAGTTGTTCAGTTTATCAAACTTGCTTGTCATATCCTTCACAGAATCGCCACTAGCCATGAGAAGTATGTTTTTGTTCGTTGAACACTTCAACAAAATGTACCACATCTTTTTTAGTTTGACCAAAAACTTGCTTTTTATATGTTTCTTTCCCAAAAACGATTACTAACAGTGTTCAACGTTCAAAACAATATATTACGGACATTTAACCAATGGGTAATAGCATAACAGACGTGTGTCCCAAAAAGCTGACATAAAAAGTCGAGCCTAAGATAAAAACAATCATTTTAACCATTAGACAAAACAATGAACCGATGGCTAAAGCACCGGACTGCACTCGTTCCTATGCAAGCTTGTTGCGATTCACGATTGCGAAGACAATTTCGTTGCGATCGTTTCAATATAAGTCGTTTTGCTGCAATCCTATGTGGGTTGTATCGATGCGAGAGTGAAAAATACCGATGTGATGCAATGCGAAAGTCCCGATGCATAAAGTTCCATCTAATTGCAATAAATCGCTATTGAACAGTAACCACTTTCGTTACGAAAGTGCATTCGCATCGCAATTACCTCCAAATACAAAATCGTGTTTGTTCCATAGTACATCGTTGCAACTAGTTGCGAACGATCGCAATTGAACAGTAACATACTATCGTTGCGAAAGTGCATTCGCATCTAGTATTCCAAAATCTCATTCGCATCTTATCGTATTCACATCACTTCAAAAGATAAGTTCAGTATTGGTCCGAGACCAACTTCACTCCGAGACTAATTTCATTCCGAGGTCATTTTTGGTCTAAGACCAACTACACTCCAAAATCAGTTTCGGTCCAACACTTATTCCGAAATTGTTTTTGTTCCAATTTCCAACCAATTCCGAAACCAATTTAGCCCTTAAAATATTGAATAAACTATTGAATAAACTTAAAAAAGTATATACTCCACACCTTCCTTGTTTAATATTTATCAAGATTAATTTGGTCAACAAATTAATCCATTACACTTAAATACACTTAGTGAAACAATTCATCAACATAATTCAATATTAAATACATTTATTATAGAGATTATTAATGTATTTAACATTTAATTAGGGTAATATTTGTCATAATGAATGCTTTTTATACGTGTTCTTAGGACACATGTTAGAAAATCTTTTATATGAAAGGTATACGTATATGGATACTTTTAAGTTTTAATTAATACCGATATCATGTCAATTATTTGCATCGACTTACTGACACAATCGTTTCCATAGACATAAACTGATATTATGTACGTATTCGATCTTCATGTTTATTTACATGCATAACTCTTAATAAAATTTACGTCCAAAAAGGAAGGAGAGAAACAGCCGACCAAATTATTTCGCAAAGCAAACCGAAGTGTATACTATAATGATAAACCTAAAAGTACATGGATAACATGATGATACAATTGTCAAACTATTTTTAAAAGTAATATTTCAAATCATTAAAATTTAAAACATAATTAAAACTATTGAATTATTTGTCAAATGACTCTTTTGTTGACTTTAATCGCTTCTTAGATCCTTGCATGTAACTCAGCTGCATTTAATCAGAAGATATTAAATCATGTAACCTTATTTTCTAAGAATTAATATGGTATTATAAGATATATATTAAACTAGATGAAGTTAATTGATTTATTAAACAATGCTGTCGATTTTCGGAAAAAGTAAATTAACTAAACTAGAGAAATTAATTATGAAAAACTCACCTGATCAAGTTTTGCTTGATGATTGTTGCCCTCCAACATTAACCCAAAATGAATATGAGGAAAATGTGCCCACTGTAATAACATCACACTTCAATTATATTTTTAGTTTTATATAAAACCATATATAAAATTCACATAATCTACGAATAAATAATTTTAAATAAAAAAGGAAATCCGAATTTGCTACCATGCATGTATACTTACATTTTTCGCAGCAGTACTAAAAGCTTCCCTGTGGCTGATATTTGAATTAGTAGCCTTAATCCTTTGAATCTCCTGTCTAATATTTTAAAATAAAATAGTAATTTAAGTTACTAATAACTTTATTCAATAAATATCAGGGGAATTTAGTATCTGTACTTGATGAATTGGTTATATGCAGATGGAACGCGTGTCCTTTTCTCCGGTGCTGTAAAAAGAATTACTTTGGTCATGATATAATAAATTTATTTATTTAGGTATGTTTGGTAAAAAAAAAAAAAGGTTAGGTTATGTTTTATAAAAATAAGATTGTTTATTATAATTTACTGTAATTGATAAAAACACAAAAAATAATTTGTTTAGTTTATAAAGTATATTATAAACTAGTTTATGATAGTTTATTCATAAACTGAGTTTACAAAACAAAGTAACACAAAATAGAGTCTTGCAACACCGGAACTAAGCCACAAATTACATGTTGGAGACTATAATTTTTATTTATGTAAAAATGTTTGATAAAAGTATTTAAAATTTTTATTATGTAAAATTATATAAAATAAACTAAAATTTCTTGAAAGCTAAAGAGCTTTTGGAATTATAAGTTTTTTTTTATTATAATATAAAAGTTATAACTCATATTTTCAAAGGAGTTTTTTTCTTCTTTTTCTAATAATAAAAATTAAAAATAATTCCTAAAATTTCTAAAACAAATCGTTGCCAAACACACACTTAACATAACGACCCAATTATATAAATAATTAAATTTGATGCAAAATCGAGAACGTACGAGCATTGATTATTGATTGATCATTGGTGTTTGGAGGAGGAGGTGGTTTCACGGGCATATATCTCGTAGATGAACACAAACTGACCTCAGAATTTGAAGGATTTTCGTTAGGATCCTGTTGAATTACAAAAGAATTAATCCACAAAATAGATAAATTAAGATATCAATCAGTTCTTTGATTTTTTTTTTATTTGTTTGTATGTATAAATAAAAAAACTTTACTAGCCACATAGTTGAGCCTAATTTTTGGCTACCGTTTTTTTCATGGAAATTAAATTATTATATGTTTTTTTCCTCCATAAATAAACATTATGATATCTAAAATAATATATAAAATCTATGTATGTTTGTATAATGAAATATAATATTTACAAAAAGAGATTTAAATAACAAAGTCAATATTATTAATTTATAATAACAAGAACCAATAAATATATTTTTTGAACTAGAATTTTTCAAGAAATGTTATTATAGTTCACTTTGAGGTGGAAAGTTCTTGTGGATACAGACCCCTTCAAGCTACATATGTTTGTCTAATAGATAACTAGGAGTTGGTTATTCATTTCATAATCCTAAAATCTCTAGTCTTATGCCTCCTTTACATATGTTTGTAAAGGAGTAGAGCCGAGCTTGAGCTTTGGTGGGCTTGGCTCGGCTCATTTAAAATTTATAGGGGTCGAGCTCGAACTCGGCTCGTTTTGAGCTGAGGTTTCAAAGTTCAAGCTTGATTAATGAAAGATTTAAAATGCTCGAGTTCAGTTTGGGCTCGACTTGTTTGTCATGCAAGCCTAAACAAGTCTAAGCTCGGTTCAAGCTCGCATATGTTAATAGTAAATTATCAAGCTAGTTTGTGTTTGTACACTCATAAAAAAAACTCGTTTATCATTATTTGATATTTGATACTTAATTATTTAACTAAAAGTCTATATATAAGATTAAAAATAAAAGTTGTATTATATAAAAATGCATCGAGCCTAATCAAGTTTAGTAGATGAATTTCAGGCTCAATCTAGTTTAATAAATAAACTGGAAACTAAGCTCGAGCTCGAGACGAGTTTTTTACAAATCGATTTCAAATAGCTCGACTCATTTAAATACACCCCTACTCGTACCTAGTGTAGTATTTCAATTGTTGCGGAGGGATAAACCTTCATATATATATATATATATATATATATATATATATATATATATATATATATATATATATATATATATATATATAAGTTCAATTGAGAAAATAAAAAATGTTGAGAATCGGAGAATCATTCTCAGTCACTCATCTATTTTTGCCGCAAAAGCCTCCGTTGTACCAGCAGAAATGGATAATGAATACACATGTGTTTCCAACAAAACATGTTTTTTTAAACTATGCTAATCATTACCTTAATATATATAAAAACATAGTTTTTTTCGTTTTTTTTTATTTTTAAAAAGCTATTTTTATCGAAAAATGATTTTAAATATACCAAAATTCATGATTTTTTATTCTCTACAAATAGACATCCATATTGATATACTTTTAAGATAAAATAGAAAATTTATTTTTTTTATATTTTCAGCTATCGTTATTCATAAGTGAATAAAAATGTATCAGATTTTTGCTATAGTACATCCGTTATTCACTTATGAATAAAAATATATAATTAATTTTTTTTAAAGTTTAAATATCATTTATACTACTTATTCATATATGAATAACAAATTAACTGTAACAAAAATCTGATAAATGTTTTATTCATATATGAATATAAAATATGACGACAACTAATACACGTTTTATTCATATATAAATATAATATATGACGAAAGATGATGTAAAAAATATATTTGAAGTAAGAAAACTTTATTACGTGTCATATTAATATATGAACGATACTTAAACTATAAAAAAAAATTAAGCATACGTTTTATTCACAAGTGAATAACGAATATATTGTAATAAAAATCTGATAGATTTTTATTCATTTATGAATAACGAGAGCTGAACTCTAAAAAAAATAAATTTTTTATTTTATCTTAAAACTATATCAATATGGATGTCTATTTATAGAGAATAAAAAATTATAAATTTTGATATATTTAAAATAATTTTTCCGATAAAAATGGCTTTCTAACCAAATTATAGTTTAGAAATATAAATATCTATCCAACCAAATTATAATTTTAAAAATCTATCCAACCAAATGATAAATATCTATCCAACCAAATTATAATTTAGATGGTTCACATCTCATATCTTAATTTAATTAGTTTTGACTTATTTAACCCATATATTCATAACCGAAGTCCAAGGAATAACCCTATTAAAATGATGTTTTTTGAAAATAACGGAATGATCATGTTAAAAAAATGATCAAATGTGTACATGGGTATAATTTCTTAGCATATTAAGTCATTAAGCAACCGAAGAAGTCACAGGAAACCGGCTAGACATGCTACAATGTGGGTGAAAATGGTGTTTAATTGAAAATTTTTATATACTTTAATGATAAATTATTTAAAAAAAATTGAAAGCATAGTTGTTTACACTCTCAAGTTCTTAACCCTTCTTCTCAAAGACATGTACAATTTTTTTCTTCTTACATTTTTACCAAACAATGACTTGTTTTTAACTAATAAAAACTAATTGTCTCTTTAAATAAACCTACTGGATTTTTGTTGAAAAAAATCAACACTATTGTAAATATAAAAAAGTAATGTTCTTTAATAATTGATAATCGTCGGAAAAATATTAGTTATGTAACCATTATACTTGATATCCTTTTGTCCTAAATGTTTAATTGGTAGTGTGTTTTTATTTAAGTTAAAAGAATATATTGTAGAAAAGAAAAACATGAGTGCGAACCGATCTCAACAGGACAAGAAAAGAATATTGATTGAAGTTATATATATCTAGAAATAGAGTACAATACCTGATCACCATGGCTGTGAGAAGACGAAGAATTTTGGGAGGTGGGATTAGTGAGAGACTGATGAACAGAAACCATGCCCATATTCACAGACCACAAATTTGTGCAGTGTCCACATCTCACGGTTACTATATCGAACAAGCTGCTGCATGGTACACTCACCTGAATCCAGCTTCTAAATATTAATGATCAACTCAAGATCAAGATTATCCAGTCAGAAAATAAATTTAGAACACGGATCCATCAAGCAACTTCTAAAAATGTTTAAATAGAATAAGTTAGTTTTAAACAACTAGGGTTTCAGGCAACAAATCGTGCGTATGATAAAGATTAACCGGAGATCGATGATGTCAAACTAAAATTAATATAGTGTAGCTGAAGATTCCTCATCTAATCATAACTTTTCTTAAGTGGGGATTCCCTGAAATTTAAATATGTGTGTTCTTCATAATGTCATATCGTTTTTTTTTTAACAATAATTTTCTTCAACTAGCAAGAACATAGCTAGCAAATAAACAAGATAAAGGAAGCGGCCATAAAAGGCCTTGACACCCACTAGACCAATTTACGGATGACTTTCTACACCCAATCATGTGTTCATATAATTATGAGCCACAAAATCCTAGATTTTGGTTTGCACACAACTATACTCCTAGCGTAACCAGAGTGTGTTAGTTATGGCCTTTAATTTATCTTGTTATATAATTGGTTATAATTTCTACTGAAAATCTCCTTAAAAAGTAGGTCATCTATTGCTTTTTGTAGAGAGAGAAAAAGAGAGTATGTTGTGAGAGAAAACTTTCAAAATCTTCAAAGGAAATTTATTTTTTCCAGCATAATAACACCAAAATCAGATATGAAGACCAACCCGAAATTAAGTTTCTGCTTTTATCATCTAAGAACCCTCAAAACATAAACTTCTTTCACTCTTTAGAAAAGAATACACACACACACACACATATATATATATATATATATATATATATATATATATATATATATATATATATATATATATATAGAGAGAGAGAGAGAGAGAGAGAGAGTAAACTGTATACCGCAAGAACAATATTGCAAAAGTTGCAAGGAATGTAACAAAGCTGCTGATCAGATGCTGCTACTTCTATGCAGCAGCTAGCGCTTGACATATCTCTCTCTCTCTCTCTCTCTCTCTCTCTCTCACACACACACAGCTGTGTGTTTGCTTGTATTTGACGTTGGAGTCTGTAGCAGTATATATAGGTTCTATATTATCCCATCTATATATATTTATAGGTGAACAATATCATAATTGAGTAAACAAAGACATACATATATGTACTATGTATGTGTTTATACATGAGAGAGAGAACGAGTGAGATGTAGCTGAGGAAGTGATAGGATCCCATCGCAAAGGCATTATAGCAAACGGGTAAATCCGGTTAAAATAATTAGTGCACGCGGGGCCTACTCCATGCACCAGGACCGGCAATTATAACCTGATAGGTCGAGAATTCATTTACGTCATGACTCTCAACATGTGATCTATTGTCTAAACATGCCACACGAGTTAATTATTTGGCAAAACGTCGGAATTTAATTAGATAGTCTTCATGATGTTACACTTGATCGAACTAGAAAACACATATTGAATTGACAGAAGCCGTGATAAAATAGTAATTGTCGGTAAACATTGTATCGAGTTATATATAAACATGAAAATGCAATCTGTTTTGTCTAAGTCAGTTAAAGAAGACAAGTTAGTTACAAATCTTTTATCGGTGTGTTTTTAAATCTTAGACTAGGTCAACTAAACTAGCTAGGACAAAGCAAAAATGAAATTAGGGTTTTTCTTCAATTTGTTAAAAGAAGTGTTTTTATATTCATTTTAATGTTTGTAGCAAATGCTATGATGATTGTTACAACTCGACCATTCTAATGAAATCAATGGACCCCATACATGACATATCAATGACGAGGAATTTTTTTTTTATCTCTTTACTTTTTTGACATTAAAAGAAATTCTTGAAAGGGTAAAAGTAAAATACGAAATTATTGCCAAACTTGATTGCGTAATAAGGAAACTGAATTTGGGCGCTCTATAACAATTTGGTATCCATCATAAGTTACATAATTTGTCACATATGATGAATAATGTTGGAATTAAATGCAACCCTAATCCACAAATTAAGAAAATAAAAACCATATATATATATATATATATATATATATATATATATATATATATATATATATATATATATATATATATATATATATATATATGAGAACCCGAAAAATGGTGAGTATTGTAAGAACAATTCTCAACCAATCGTGTTCATTAAAGGCGTTATCGTCTAACAAATAATAAATTGGGTTGCAAACAACTAATGAACTGGGCCGGAAAAAAACTGGTCTTGGCTAAACCTATAAATGATTTGGCTTATACTTAAAGGAGGATTTGGCTGAGAATGGGACATTATAATTGAGCAACGTTCAATGTTAATATTCTTCGTTCATTCATCGAGCAATATCGAAGACAATACAAATCCATTGAAATTGCCGTCTTTTCTACTAAAAGCTACAATACCTACTTCAAATCATGCAAAAAAATGATAGATTCGAAAACAAAAACAAAATTTTACTGTTCATCATCTTCCTCTTTTAATTATGTAATAAATTTTTCAGATCGTGGTGAATTCATCTACGAAAATGATATTTTGTTTTTCAAATTTTCAATAACAACTTCGATTTTAAGTTAGATTCACAGTTCTTCAAAGCCGATACGTACATGATTTAGAACACAAATCTCCATATACGACTTTGCTTTTAGATTTAGGATAAAAAGGAGATTGTATTTCAAAAAATATTTAAATAATTTGAATAATTCATGTATGAAAAACATAGTTTTTTCAATTTTTTCGCAAGAAAGTTGGTTCATACTGCAATTTAGTACCAACAATGTTGTTTAGACCAAATTTTAGAATTTAGGAAACAATTAAAACATCATGATAACATAGTATGGTGGAACCATGGGTTGTGCAATGTCATAGTAAATAAATGTCCATGTTTTAATATTTGAAATTTTGTTTTAACAAACAAAATATAGAAATTTATGGGTTAAATTCAATTGGAATCCCAACTTTGATGAAGCACTCAATGTGTTTGTTAAAATCATTACAAGAATAAACGTCTAGGGACGACAAAAGTCATCGCTATAGATAAACCTATAGGGACGATATTTTGTCGCTATAAGGTTGACCAAACATTTTTGACTTTATAAGCTAAAGTGATCACAAATCGCCTCCACTGTTAAAGCGGGTACGAAAAAAATGTTGGCGGGATTCCAAAAACCTATAAGGACGACATATTTTCCCAAAAATAAATTAAATTAAATATATATACATTTTTTAATTTGTTTAATTAGAAATTAGGGGCGACATCGTTTTGCTTGAGGGTATAGGGACGACAAATCATCCCTATAGGGTTGTATGCTCTCTGAAATTGGAAGAAGTATCCATTTCTCATTAATTGATCGCTACTCCTCTTTTGGCTCTCGCTCTCTCAAGCGGCGATATGCTTCTCGCCGACCACCACAGCAACAACCAGGTAACCGTCGGCCTCCATAATGACCGCCATCTTCGCTACGACGTTGGTCAGGCGATTCCTACTCTCCTTTCACCTTTCTCTCGCTTTTGATCACATGTTATCTTCTTGCCGACTACCTCAAAGAAGACCAGTTTCACCGTCGGCCTCTACTCCTTTGCTTCCAGCGACCTCCTGGTTCCTTCTACTGCTTCCGGCGACCTCATTCCTATGAGATTGCAGTTCTCTCTCCAACTCCCATTTTCTTCAACAGGTTTGTCTCCTGATTTTGTGATGTATAATTATGTGATTTTGTTAATATTTTGTTTGAATATGTTTGAAACTTTATGGAACTGTATGAATCTATTTAGGGTTATGTTTAAGGTTACTGATTTGTGTTGTCCACGCTTGGTTTTGTATGATTTTGTTAAAAAACAATAATGCTTTAGATTTTTGGAACAAATGAATACTATGAAAGACTCATCAGGTTATCATTGGTGCATATATATGTCAATGAATATCTTGTTGGTATGGCTTTGTGTTGATATATATTTTTTAAAAATTGAAATGTATTCAAAATGATGTCTGATCCTATGTATTATCTTTCAATTCGCAAGTGTTGCTTATGGAACCCGTAAAGTTATAAACTTCACATTGGAAAAACTATCAATTTACACAGAGGTATATTTTTCATCAAACATCCATAATTTTTTATATTAAATTACTTATGTGTAGTTATTTTTGTGTATATCTCTAAATAAGGTTACATTAATTGACCAATGTTGGATTACTTGGGGAGAAGCTATCAATTTACACAGAGGTCAAGTCATGTATCATTGAGCTAGTACTCGTATCTTTGTACTCTAACCTTAATGGGGTTACCCTTAATCCTATTTCCATGAAATAAAAATTCTGTTACGCATTCTTTTACTAATTGTGTTGTTGATTTGTACTTAACATATGATATTTGACTCGCCTAGTGGAAACAAGTCAATTGCACCAAACCCTGTTTCAATGGGGAAAGGTGAAGTTTGGATCAATGGCCAAAGTATTAGAAGATATTGGGTCTCGTTTAAGACCCCTACGGGCTCTCCTTCACTAACATGGTTCGAAACCGACATTGATCAGTGACTGTCTGATTATATTTTTATAGCTAGCATTTGTGATTTTTTACATTGGGTTTATGTTTGACAGGTACAAGTACCCCGATCTTTCCTTAAACCAGGAGGGAACCTACTGGTTTTGCTCGATGAAGAATATGGAAACCCGCTTAACTTTTCCTTATATATTGTTTCGATTATCAACTCTAGTTTGTTTTGTATGAACATCTAAAAGATTTCAAATTATGTTGTTGTTTTTAGTAAACCGATCGTGTAATATATTTTAAAACGTTAGATTGTAGATATTTGAAATGTTTTATATTTAAATTTACTGTTTTTTGTTTTATTGTATAAAAAGATTTTATTGTAAATAAAAAATCCTGGAATTAAACAAATCAGAAGGGCATGGCTAAAATTTGTAAAATCTGTGCAGAACCTATAGGGACGACTTATCGTCTTTATGAGGATATGTATGACGACAAGAAGTTGTCGCAATAGTTTTACCTACAGCGGCAACAAGTCGTCGCTATAGGGATGGCTATGGCGACGACAATAGGATCTAAAGTGACAGACCTATGATGACGAGGCCTATGGGGACGACATATCGTCTCCAGGGTCTATAGCGACGACTTTTGTCGTCACCATAGGTCTTTAATCTTGTAGTGTTTAATGTTTATGAGAAGTTAAATGCACATAAGGTATTTGAAAATATTTTCTAACATTTTGTTGTTCTTTGTTCACACAACTTGTTTGTACTTATGTATGAGTGAGATGTAAGTGATTTATTTCATGCTCTTTATTTACACTAATTTTTGGTCTTCGTGGAAAATTTATAATGTAAAATATATATGGATGAAAAGATAAGAGAATTGTGGATTGTGGATATGTGTAGAGAAACTCTCACCGGATAAGATTTAGTTAATGTGAGACTAGCTATCTATACCATAACATCATAAACATGTAATATTGTTGCAACTTATTTATGTTTTATTTTTGATATCTCTATTTGGAGCATTGTACTCCCTCCGTCCCAAAATAATAGTCCATCTTTCTTTTTTGGTTTGTCCCAAAATAATAGTCCACTTCTAAAAATAAATAACATTTTTACCAAAATACCCCTCATTATTACTTAACCAACTAAGCATTTAATGGAATATTAAATGCAAAGTAAGGACAAAACTATCATTTTATTGTATAAAGTTAGTGGTAATTAATGCTTCCTTAATCTGTGTGTTTTTTGTGTGTGGACAATAATTTTGGGACGGATGGAGTATTTTGGATCATAATATGTTGGTATCATAGAAAGTATGGAAACTAGATCATATCATTTATTTTTTTTATACTCGTTGGCATTAGATCATATCATTCATTTGTTTATCACATTATTTATAGCATTAGATCATAACATGTCTGGATAATAAAATACTCTCTCCGTCCCAAAATTTTGTCCATACACAAAAAAACACATAAATTAAGAAAACATTAATTATCATTAACTTTATCCAATAAAATGATAATTTCATCCTTTCCTGCATTTAATTCCATCATTAAATGTTTTTTGTTGGTTAAGTAATAATGATGGTAGTTTGGTAAAAAAGATATTTATTTTAAGAAGTAGAATATTATTTTGGGACAACTCAAAAAAAAAGATGATCTTTAAATATGGGACGGATGAAGTATTTGGATCATACACATTTCGAATTGGATCATTGTGTTGATTGATTTGTAACATTTCAATCATAAACTATTTGTGTCATATCATTCTTAAATCATAAAATTTCAAATCATATATTTTTTAATGTTACGAACCTTAATTTATCATTTGATGGTGTCATTCATCATGATTTATAGAACCACCACTTAATGGACGAGATAT